TACAAGTGGAGGCCTGGACAGCCTTAGGAGAGAGACAGGATCTGTGTGGGCCCTGGAAGGTGGCTAAAAAGCCCTGGGCTTTTCTCCTGCTTTCTCTCTTCCACTGTCTTTTTTTGTACCCAGCAAGTTTGCTTGGTTTCCTCAGAGATGGGTAAAATGGATAGGCTTTGGCACTTGCTGTAGCTTTTCCTACTTTCTGCCTTGAACTTTAGTTGGGCCAGACTTAGGAAGACAGACTGGTTAGGATGTTGGTCTGAGGCCTCTAGGCACAGCCAGACTTCTCAGGTGAGCCTCAGACTTACCAGCTCCCAAGACTAGGCAGACAGACAGACAGACAAGTAGAAGGAGCCGCTTTGCTATTTGGCACAAATCAGACCAAGAGAACTTACAATAGAAAGTTTATTTTTGTTTCCAGTCAGTATTTTTCCTTAAAAACAAATACCCCCCCCCAAAAAAAAAGCTGATCACAGTTTGCTTAAACAGCCAGACTTGGACAATATTTGTAACTTTGTTCACAAAAACATACATCACTGAAGCTGCGCTTATAAGCCACTTCCAGAGTTCGTGCAAAGGGTCCTACAAAGGCACGCAGGGACACACCGCTTGGAGTCACAGTTTTCGTCACAGAGTCACTAGTCACTACACGTTGAACAAGTTAAGTTGTGTCTCATTAAGTCACCTCTACGACAGCATTAATTACACAAGGAATATAGGTAGTTTGAATAAAAATATCTTTAACAGCTTGGAGCTATTGAGACAGGAACACTTCCACGCACATGCACAGTTAACAACTCAAGTGCAACACACAACATGGGCACTAAACGAGGTTGAGGGGGGACTTTTCTGTGTGTTTTTTCTCTTTTCTTTTTTGTTATAGTTACTTCAAGTAACACAGCTTGCTTCATATAAATAAGTTAAAACATCTATTTTTTTTCAAGACAAAGCCATTCAGGACAAAGAGATGAACAGAAAGCAGATCTACTTATACAGGCGCTATAATGGCAATAAACAGGCTCATGATTAAAAGATGAATTAGGGCAACGAGAACAGGGCTTCTTCACAGAAGGAACACAAGGGAGTTTCAGAAAGTCACCTTAGTACTGACACTACGCGGGATCCGCTAATACTGCTCAGTACTTTAAATGCTTAAGTGATCAGGGGCGGAAGGCCCCTCCTGCTGCCGCCATGCTCATGCTTTTCAGCTTATTATCTTTTTTCCACTTCATTCTCCGGTTTTGGAACCAGATTTTAATTTGTCTCTCGGAGAGGCAAAGAGCATGTGCTATTTCAATCCTTCTTCTGCGGGTCAGGTAGCGGTTGAAGTGGAACTCCTTCTCCAGCTCCAGGGTCTGGTAACGTGTGTAGGCCGTCCTGGCCCGTTTGCCTTCAGGGCCGCCTATGTTGTCTGCAATAGAAAAGTCAGCGGTTTAGCCACCAACTCCTCGGTCCCTGGCTTCCAAAGTCCTCCAGCTGACGAGCTAGGGTCCTGCGCCGGGGAACCAGGCGAAAGGCTCAACAAGTCTCCCCTCCCTGTCCACCGGCCACTCCCCAATTTCCTTCCCTCTTCCTTTCTAGAGAGAAAACAATACGGTTTGGACTCTGGGAACAATCGGCCCAAGTGAGGCTGGAACCACGTCCCGGAGGACCGCCGGGCTTTCCCTCGCCCCTCTGTGCCCTCTGGCCCTGCCCCAGGAGCCCCAAGCAGGGGCACAGCCCTCCCAGGCAGCCAACCTCTGGAAAGCCACCGAGGCACAGCCCTTTTCTGAGTGCCAAAGTGGCCTCCAGGTCCTTCTCCCTTAAAGTTCCACCCCACGAGCTGCCTCCATCCAGCCTCAGCTCCTGCGCCTGGGGCGCCTGCTCGCTTGCTTTCCTTCTTTCTTTCTTTTTCCCCCCTCTTTCCTTCTTTCTCCCTCTTTCCCCCAAACTTCAGAATCCCACCGGCCCTCGCCTTGATTATTCCCTCTCAAGCCCCTTTTCGGGGCTCTAATTAGTAACGCTGTTTCCCCGGCACAGTCCTTCCCATAAATTATCCCGCCTGACAAGACCGATTCACGGCCCCTCCTGCCTGCACCCTCTACCTCTGCGCCCTTCTCCGCGGGCCTGACCCGGCCGCGTTCCGAGGCGCTGGGTTCCAGACGCATTTTTTTTTCCTTTCGCCCTTTTTTAAAGTCCAAACTTGCCTGGCCACCAGCCCACTGCCCCGCTATCTGCGAGTCGCAGGTTGCTGCAGGGACGCGGAGGAGGATGGAGGCAGGGAGGCGATCGGCAGGGAGAGGCTGCGCGGGGCTGGGGGAGAGACTAGGAGAGACCCGGAGAAAGGGCGGCAAAGCAGGCAGGGAGACCGCGGGCCGCGCCCCCGGGACGCGTGGATTTAGAAAAAGGCTGGCGTTACCATGACTTATGTGCAGCTTGCGCATCCAGGGGTAGATCTGGGGCTGAGCGGGCGGCGCCGGGCTCGGCTCGCTCTGCGCGCTCGCCGGCTCGCTGCTGGCGGGGGCGTCCTCCTCGGCTCCGGACGCCGTGCCAACCCCCTCTCTGCTGTTGATGTGGGTGCTGCCGGCGTTGGCCGAGGCGCCGCTGGAGTTGCCCAGGGAGTTTTTCCCGCCGTGGTGGCTGTCGCTGCCGGGCGAAGGGGCCACGGCGGAGCAGGGCAGCGGGTCTGGCGGAGGCGAGTGCGTGGACGTGGCCGGCTGGCTGTACCTAGGCTCGGCGGGTGCCGCGCTGGCGCCGGCCGCGTAGCTGCGGGCGCGCTCCCCGGAGCCAAAGTGGCCGGAACCCGAGCGGCCGACGCTGAGATCCATGCCATTGTAGCCGTAGCCGTACCTGCCGGAGTGCATGCTCGCCGAGTCCCTGAATTGCTCGCTCACGGAACTATGATCTCCATAATTATGCAACTGGTAGTCCGGGCCATTTGGATAGCGACCGCAAAATGAGTTTACAAAATAAGAGCTCATTTGTTTTTTGATATGTGTGCTTGATTTGTGGCTCGCGGTCGTTTGTGCGTCTATAGCACCCTTGCACAATTTATGATGAATTATGGAAATGACTGGGACATGTACTTGGTTCCCTCCTACGTAGGCACCCAAATATGGGGTACGACTTCGAATCACGTGCTTTTGTTGTCCAGTCGTAAATCCTGCCTGATGACCTCTAGAGGTAAACTCGTGCACTAATGGGGGAGTTGGGTGGAGGCGAGAGGGGTGGCGCGCGCACCCCAGGCGCGTGCCCGCCGCCCGCCGCCGTCGTTCAGTCGGACTCGAGCGCCACCCGCTGGAGTCAGGGAGCATCGCTCCGCTTCCGACCCGGGGCTGCAAGGGCCGGGGTCGAATTGAGGTTACAGCCCATTATGGCAAAATTATTGCATTTCCCTCGCAGTTCCATTAGGATGTACCAATTGTGAGGCCGTCAGCTGCCGATCGCGCGCCCAGCGAGGATGCAGAGAATTAGGGGGAGGTGGTGACTTGGAATTTATTTACAACTTTATTTGCCCGCTTTGCAGCCCCTCTTATTTTTGTGTTGAGGTTGGGGTCGTTTCTGTCATCCTGCCGGCAGCTCTGAATTTTGAAAATACAGATAACACCTTCGGGGAAGGGGAGGAGGCCATTTAGCCAAATTGGAGAAATAAATCCTGCCCGCAGCAGCAGCTACAATTACAGCTCTGTTTTTGCGAGTGCAAGAGGGACAGTGTCCCTGCCGCTCTTAAATGACAGGCGTCTATTAAAGATAGCTTTTGTGTAGTGTTTCTCCGAGGCGAGGTCATATTCCACACACTTTTACAACCGAGGTTGATTTTTCTTTCTTGTAAATATGGTTTTTGTGTTATTAGTTTGCTATTTGATTTGCTTACGCATCTGTCTCGTAGAATCTTCACCAACGAGTCCCCGTTCCTTGAGCCAGCCAGGCTCCCAGTCGTAGGATTCCCTGTGAACCGAGCGAATGGGCCCAGGCTTCCCACGACCACAGAGCCTGCTTAGGCGCTGGGAATTCATGGATTGAGTTCTTGGGGTCTTGTTTATACCTCCAGGAGTAAATTGAGGCAGCTAATGAAAGCATTTCGTGGCAGAGCCTAGTATCTCCGTAGTTATTTTTCTGGGCTACAAAAGGCGAAAGTAAATCACAAATATAGCTGGGAGGGAAGCAGAATTTCCCCGCTGAAGACCCGGCATCACAGGCACCCCTGCCATGTTTGCAAGCCAATGCCCTAGTAGCACCCATGGCCCTGAGCACACTCCTTGGGTGCTGAAAGCTGCTTCTTGGCGGCGCCGGCGCTGTCGGAGGCAGGGAGACAGAATCCGGAGCCAGGAACCTGCAGGAGCCCAGTCACTCCCAGGGCTGTAACGTTTCACTGGCGCCCAGGTTAGCTCGCTTCAGCTGGCTGCTTCTTTTCCACTGAAGGTTGCGCAAGCCAGAGAAACCCGGCTATTTAGGGGCCCTTTTGTTCTTCGAGCTCCTTCCTGTTTGGGGGGTGGCCTGAGAGGCCACAGCAGGGCTGGGGCCCCAGCTCTTAGACTCTCTTCGCTTTCCGCTGGCCTGAGCTGATGTGGTGATGCCCTTTAGGGCTCACTGCCCAAGGACCAAGGCAGAGATGCCCAAATACTGAACTGGGCACGGCCTGGGGAGAAGGTCTTTCTTCTTCAGCTACTCCACATTCCAGGCTTGGGGAGCGAGAAGGAGATATAACACAGCTGGGGAGAAATTCGGGGCACACTCCGGGAATTCAGAGCTGACTTGGCAAGCCTTGGGGAGCAGGCCCGTATGTGTGCAGTGTGCGCCACTCCACCGCTGGCAATGCCTGTGCATGGGGATTTTTTTCTTTTGGTTGTTGTTTGTCTGTTTCTGTTTTTGTTTTTTTGTAATAAATACTCGCGCGTTGCAAAGCTTTGGGTTCCCCTGAAGCTGCAAAGCCCCCCCACAGCAGCACAAAGAAAAGTTGGAGAGCAGGCTAGGGCAAGAGGGGCAAAACCAAAGGAGGCTGCAGTGCTGGCCTGGTCCTCGCCTAGACGTCTACTCTCCCGCCTTTGCCTCAGAGTCCTCCCCGCTGGGCTGCGTGGAATTGATGAGTTTATTTTCCTTTTTCCACTTCATGCGGCGGTTCTGGAACCAGATCTTGATCTGGCGCTCAGTGAGGCAGAGCGCATTGGCGATCTCGATGCGGCGCCGCCGAGTGAGGTAGCGGTTGAAGTGGAACTCCTTCTCCAGCTCCAGGGTCTGGTAGCGCGTGTAGGTCTGGCGGCCTCGGCGCCCGTGGCTCCCGTACACAGCACCTGCAGGTAGAAAGGGCCAGTGCCGGTAAGCGAGGGTCTGTAGGGCTGAGCTAGCGAGTCCCTTGCCTCCCTCCAGGGGCCTCTGGGCTGGAAACCACTCTGCTTCCATTCCTGCCTCTCCCACTATATCTGGGGCCGAGAGCACACTGAATGGTGTAAAGGTTGTTTCATAACAAGTGAGATGACTTCCCCCTAAAATAACTTGTGATGGGAAGGTGCTGTTTTTGGAAAGTGTGCCTTGTAGGAAAACCATAACAAATGTAATAAATAGAATGGGCATTCGTAATTTGGGACAACAATCATATTTTTGTGTTGTGTAGTATGTGTGCATCTGGGGTAGGTGGGAGTGCATTCCTATTAGCAGTGTACACACTGTAAATTCACATGCTGGTCTCTCTAGGGATACTATTGAGGCCACCTATGTCAGGATACAACATTGTTTTGAAAGTTAAATGTGCTTAGCTCTCAAATATTTGCACATTCTCCCAAATTATATGAACCATTAGAAAAATACAGAAGTCCATGGAGGGTGGATTTTAAAGCAAAACACTAAGTTTTAAAATCCATATTAGGCTGTCCTGTTCCAAGGGGATGGGAGGATTCCCTATGAGGCCTTTGGAAACCAGGGCAAAAGAGATGGACCTACAAACAGTCTGGGATTTCTTGCAATGAAGGACTGTGCTGGGCTGTGTATTCTGGTGCCAAAGGTGCCCAAGGATGGGAGGGTCTCCTGAAGCCAAGTGTGAGGCTCAGCCAGGGGCTCAGATGGAGGCATAAGTTGGCTGAAAGAGGGCAGTTGAGTGGAAGGGGAGCAAGGGAGGGAGAGAGAGAAAAGGTCCTGAAGCTAGGGATGTGGTCCTCCTCCAAGGCTTTGGGGAAAAACACTGGCAGAGGCCAAAGGAAGTCCTCTCTCCAGCTAGGGTTCTGAGGGCAGAAAAGAGAGGGGTTGGGAGGTATACAAGGCCCTCTCTACCTGGGAACAGAGCAGGGTGTTACGGGGTGCAGCCTGGGGGCTCTCCTTCCCAACCTGCGTCCCTCTCTCTTCAGATGGCCCTGTCACAGTTCTCCCAGTTTGCAGTGATTCCCCCACCCTCCCTAAAGTGTCACCTTACATGGACCTTATCACCCTCCCTTTCCTCTGCTTTGGCCTGATGGTCCCATTAGGAATGGGTTTTCTTCTTTTAAGATCTACTTTTAAAAGCCAAAGAAACTTTGTTCATTCCTTCCCCCTTTCAGTCTATTTCTCTTTCTACTTTCTCTCTTTCCTTCCTTCTGTCCCTGCCTCCTTCCCCTTCCCCGCCCCCCCTGCCTTGGGTGGGGGTGCAGGGAAACGTCTTACCCGCGCAGGAGTTCATCCGCTGCATCCAGGGGTAAACAGGGCTCGTGTACTTCCGGTCGGAGCCTTCGTCATGGAGGGCTTTGCCCTGTATGGTGCTGCTGTCGGGTTTGTACTGCTGCTCGGGAGAAAAGTGCAGATAGTCCCCGGGGCCCCTCTGCTTGCCACTGCCCGAGGGCGAGGCGCCACTGAGGTCCTTATCAGAATAGAAACACGAGGCCCCGTACTCGTAGGACGCCCGGTTGCAGGCCAGGACCGAGTTGGACTGTTGGTAGAAACAAGGTGAGGTGTACGTCTTGTCCGGGAGGCTCGACGCCCCATACGAGGCCGGGAAGGGCCTCAGCGCGTCATAGCCAGCCGGGTAGAGGGGCAGCTGGCCCAGGAAGGAGTCCTGGCCGCTGGGCAGGCTCCCGGGGAAAGTGGGATTCACAAAATAGGAACTCATTTGCGCGCCCCTCTGCAGGACTGTGATTTGTTGTGTATTAGTACATCTGGCTATAACTATTAGTAGTCATCGAACTGGTTTGTTTCTGGATGGCCGAACGCCAAAAGCGACAGCAGCAAATCGCACCAGCTGACGCGGCGGCGGCCAATGGGAGCGAGCGCCGGAGCCCGCTCCCCGGGGACCGCGGCGACCGAGGCAGCAAAGTTACAAACAGCCCCCAGCCCGCCCGCCGCCGCCGCCCGCCCGCCCGGCAGATTGATGTGCGCGCACAGCCAGCCCGCCCGGCTTCCCCCCAGCGCCAGCGGCCGGCCTGGCCCGGGCAGGGACGCGCAGATCGGACCCGGTCTGGAGCACGAGCGCCCGGGCCGCCTGAAAGGCCCTGTCGGGCTCGCCCTTCCTGCCACCCACCCTCACTCATCCTTGCCTTTTTTTTTTTTTTCTTAGTCAGATTTTGCAGTTTTTTTTCCCCCCTCCAAACAGGAAACCCGACAGCCCCCGCAGCCAAGAGGAGCCGTGACCACGATGGCTTTGCTCCCTGCTGGCCTACCCTCCAGGCCTGGTCTTGAGTTGCCCTTTCCCTTGTGCCCCTCTAATGGAGGGTGTGGGGTCTTTGAGAAGCCAGGCCTTCACTCTCTGCTCTGCATGGCAAGCTTGGAAATGGTGCATCCCCTTATTGTCTCCTTCCCACTTCTGCCAGAAGTCTAGGCCTCACAGCAAAGAGCTGAAGGCTCACCCCACGCTGGCCAGGACAAGGCCAAACAGGCTCCTCCTGCTGCCCCTGCCTTCTACATATAACAGCATCTTGTTTGGGTACAGATGGGCTCCTCTGCAATGGCCATGCCTACTTGGTGTCAAAGCAAGCATTCTTATACCAGCTACACACCCAGTTGTTGAGCCTAGGAAACAGAGAAACCAGAACCCACAGATTTCAACAAGGAAGGACCTACAGAGAGGCAGCTGTGAGTGAGACTGGGCTCAGACTGCTGCCCCTCGCCCAGTGCTCTGCTCCCCACAGCCACCAAGAAGCTGAGACAGAAAAATCCAAATGGGCACTCTTCCTCCTCATCCCAGAGGCACTGAAGATACACTGCAGATGGTCCCTGGTGGAGCAGGGCATAGAGAACAGCTGGACAGGGGCCCCAAGGTGCACAATAATTAATGGGCTTGGTTTCCGGGGCGCCTGTCTGCTGACATGGTCATGGGAGAGGCCTCTCTCTTGCCCTTCCAAGACAACCCCAGAGCCTGCTCCAGAACAGGGAACAGTTTTCTCACAGGCTCCAGAAATCCTGAATTGCTTTCATTGTGGTCCCAGGCCTGGCAGTTCCCAGATAGGACAGGAAAAGCCTGTCCTGGGCTGCTCTCTTGTCTCTGAGAGGTGTGCCTTCAGGACAGTTCACTTTTACAACACAAGGATCAATCTCGTTTTGTAAAATGTCGTATCAGTCCAGTGGCATTTTTATGACTGTTTGTTGGGCTTGTAAAATTCCTTGAATTGGCTTTAAAATCCTCAATTCTGTGGAGGTCAAAGAAATGACATTATTTGGTTGGATTTCGGGAGACTACTTTTAAGCTCTGTAAAACCCTGGCCAATACAGGCTCATGGGGTTCAGGAATGGGTGGGGGTGGGGGGATTGGCAATGCTCCCCTAGGAGTCTGATAATGACTTCCTTGATTTCTTTCTTGCTTTTTAATTTTTTTCCTGACTTTCCTTCCCCAAAAATAAGAAAAGAAAAATTTGAAAAAGATAGCTACTGTCGGCGGCAGCAGCCTCCACAGAGCCCATGACGGCACTCTCAAATGCTTGGGGAAGCCTTGTGCCTATACTTTAATCAATCCAGAGAGGAAAAGTTTTTCCTTTACATGTAAAGGATCATTTAGACAAGGATAAATTTTCACATTTCCCACAGATTTCTTCAGGGAAAGGATCCAGTAGGTGAAAGGAAACTCTCAAGAGTCAGAAAAATAAAAAGGGAAAATTTCCCCTTAAAAGCTGTGTTTCACGAAAATCATGTTTGAGCTATTATATTGTAAAATCATCAGATAACAATAATTTCAAGCAAGTTATTTAAGATGAAAATAACTGTTTTGCAGATGTTGATAAATGCTTACATTTATACTTTCCCATTCACTCCTCCACGGTCTACAGTGTTGGAGCTACTGGCAGTTTACTACTATTATTGTTTTGCTTTGACCTGGATTCTCCATCTAGTAATTGTCCTAGCAAATGAAAGAATTTGGTTGTTCAGCTCAGAGCCAGAAAATATTATATTTCTAGATTTTGTAAACACTAAAGTGGAAAACATAATACATTAAATGGAAATCTTTGCATGATAATCAAGGCTAGTGCATATTATGTTGGTAGCTAAACAATTTATCAATCTCTCTCTCTCATATATATATATGTATTATATATGTATATATACATATATATATGGAGGAGAGTAAGAAATTCACAAGGAAGAACCCATTCAGACAATAATTGGAGCCCCACACCCTCCCTCGAACCTGTCCTGGATGGTGGGAATGGCCACTCCAGGGCTTTCTCTTTTCTGTCAAAGGCAGACAGAAAGCCAACTTACCTTTCAGCTTCTCTCATTGGGCCAGGATATCCAGTAGGGTCACACCTTCAGCTGCTGCCCTGGGCTGCCCATTGAGCTCCTGTACTTCTCCCAGGCTGGAGGAAGGCCTTCAGGGATGTGTGGAGACCTTGAAGGCCCACTTTCTACCTTCGTGGTGGCTCAGGCCACAATGAGCAGCACACAGGTGCGGCCTCTGCCTGTCACAGGTTCTTGCCTGGAGCCCAAATCCACCTTCCTTGCCACAGACAATACTTCTCAGAGCTAGCTAGGCCAGCAGGCCTCAGGACTACAAGTGGTCTCTCCGATGTCAGAATCCCAAAACCAGCGCGTTCCCCCAACCGGCGTGCGACCCCAGGGCTCCTTGGGACGCGCTGTTTGACCAGAAGCAGCCATGACATGCCAGGCGGCCCGTGCAACCAGTCTCGAATGTGCTGGGATGGGGAAGAGGGAAGGACCCGAGTCTATTCCGGCGTCTGGCTTCAGTCTGGGGTGGCGGAGGCCGGTAGATTTCCCAGCCAAACAGACCCTGGAAGACTGCCCTTCAGGTTCCCTTTCGCCCCCTTCCCCTGCCTTCAGGGGAATTTCTATGGGGCCCGCACAGCAGTCGCGCCAGGCTGCAAGACGCGAGCTGCGGTTGGCGCCGGTCCCGGCGACGGCCACAGCGTGGCAGCAGCGAGCGCCATTTCGGTCACAATAAATAATCTGCCCGAGGCAGCCGCAGTCGGGCAGCCAACAGCCCTACAAGGCAAATGCGCCGCTTTATCTGCCCGAGCGCACCCAACGCCATGGCGAACGACACAAACATTTACACCCCTCCATGGTTAACTGATGCATACCAAGATATTATCTTAAAATAGCAAAATAACAAGAACAACAAACAAAAACCGAACAAACACGGTAGAACTCGAGCCCAGAACCTGAAGATCGATTCTAGTCGCCCGGTGCTCCCCGGGGCAAATCTGGTCCGATACGCACTCAGGCCGAGCCAGGTTCGCGTCACCGCGCTATGCAAAGCCACCGCCAGGACTCCCTCCGAGCCCCTCCCGGCTAGCTCCACGATCCTCTCCCCGCTCCTGGGAGGTGTGGTGCATGGTTGCCAGCTCTCTGAGCCGAGCTGGGTTGGAGGGGGTCCCCCTATTGCCCAGACTCGGTTTACGTCCTTCATTCAACCCTAGCTGCCACCTGCACTCATACCACAATGTTCTCCGCTTCAAAACACCCCACCAAGTAGCATCCAGACAATTAACCTCGTCCTCTCCTCCGATACAGAATTCCACCATGCACCTATGGCCTCTTCACAGCTCCTCAGACGCCTCTCATCGGAAAACCGGCGAAGAGAAGCAGGCAGTCAGCAAAGAACTCTGGCTGATTAGTAAGTTTTTTTGTCTGTTTCCCCAGTTCCACCTTTCTCTCCGCACCCAGCCCCCAGGAACCACAAGGTGCTGTGCTGACGGTAATAAAACGCCTGTGGGTTAACTCACTTTGGCCCTCGCCTCTTCTCACCTCCCAGGTCGGGAGCTGTCTCCTGGTATTGGGGAATTCAGCCAACCCCCTGGGCGTGAATGTAAAAACAACACAAAACCAAACAAAAAACAAAAACAACCCCCCCCAAAGCCAAACCCTGAGGCTGGCAGGAAATGCAAAGTGAGAGGTCACTTATGCTTCCCAACACCGCTGGGGAAAGGGGCAAGAAGCACGCGCGCTGCTGCCTGTGCCAGGCGCTGTGCCACGGAGGAGGGCGGGCACTTACTGCCCCGTGATCGGGGCGGGGAGGAGGGACGGAGTGGGGTGTGGGTGGAGGTGGTGGAGGTGGTGGTGGTGGTGTGTGTGTAAGTGGGCCGTGGGGTGTCCGGGGACGAGCGCCTGGGGGGTGTGGTGGACATGTCCCTTTCCACTGCCGCCCTGGCCGCCTTCTCCCACTGGCATCTCACCACCTTTGCTCCTGTCTCCCCCCCCCCCCAACACGTCTCACCTTCAGATGGCGGCTCCCAGACGCTCCTGCTCCTCTGACAGCTGTCGCTCCGGCAGCCCAGAGAGGAATTGTCCCCCTTCCTGGTGCCAGGGACGCAGGAAATCAGCCAGGTTGAGAGTGGAAAAGCGGCCGCCGCGGCGCCGGGAACCGGGCGCGCCCCACCTCCCGCGGGAGCGGCCGGGCCGGGCCTGGCCCGGGCTTCCCTTCGCTGGACATCGGCGGACAAAGCGCAGCCCCGCCGGGCTGCAAAGGCAGAGCTCCGAAGCAGGCAGGATGGAGCGGAGCAAAAGAATGCGGCTCTATTCTCGCAAGGGAAATTATAAAAAAGTTCATGTTCACGGTTCTCATCCACATGACCGACAGCGGCCAATGGAAGGGCCGAACAACTCATAAAGTTGTATTGCAAAGTTGTAAATTTTCATAAACAACAACGGATTTATGACCCTTTCCCCATCACTAAGAGGAGGCAGCTCTTACACCGGCGCCATCTTACCACCGAGGCCGCCCCGGACTTGGGCAGCAGGTTTTACAGACCTTTTTGGGTCAGATTTTATAAAAAGAGTCCTAAGAAGCTGTCCCAACCCAGGCAGGAGACAGGAGTGGAGGTCTTGGCCAGCAGCGCCCAGGATGCTTTGCAATGGCCCAGCGCCCCAGCCCCGAGCCCCTGCCCCAGCCCCCCTTCTTCCCGCACCCAGACGCCCCCGGTGAGACTGCGCAGGCGGGGGCTGCGGCTCCTGCCCCTCCTCGAACCCCTTTGCTGCAGTGCCGGCTCCTGGGGCCCCCTCCACCCGCCTGAAGACAGAATGCGGGTGCTGCGGCAGGGGTCCCCAAATTCCATTTTCTACCCTAGGACTGAGTTCAGGGCGCATGCGGACTCCAGAATCTGTTGCAGGGTAGGTAATACCCTCTTCAGTGTCCACCCACCAGCCTTAGAGCAAAGGGTGGATTTGGAATTCACTGTTAGAATTTCAGGAGGTTTTTAAGAGGTTTACAAAGTATAATGTATCTGCCAAAGATCTCTTGTCAAAGGATTTAGATATTTGCACACACACAGAAATCAGATGAAAGTATCCACAAAAAGACAAACAAAATTACAGACAGAAAACGTGTAATTGTAGACACACAGAAAAATCCACACTCAAGTATGGTCACAGAAAATAAGTACACACATTTATGGACACAGATTGTATACATAATTATAAGACAAAGCAAAAATATACACCAAGCATACACAGACATTCGAAAATAGGCACATACGTACCCATACCAATCCACACACACAAATATAGGAGACATGATAGGCCTATACACTAATACATGGACAATGCAACACTTGCAGCTAAGAACAGTCTTCCACTTTTGCATCCCAACAGCCTCTTGGGCACACAGACACAGCCAGGACTTGCCCTTCAGCTTTGGTCACCGCCCGGTACCCCAGCCCCTCTAGGTAAAGCACTCCGTGTTTCTTTGTGACCAAGCATCTTTATTTTTATTACATAAAACATGGTTAGCTGGACTGGGAACAGTTCTGTCCCTGAACATCAAGCTGGAGCGTAGAGGAACACAGTACAACACAGGAGATGAAGGGCATTGGGGAGAGCCTTGGACCTCCCCACCCACTACATAGTTCAAGACAACACACCATGCTATAAAGTCACCCCATTAACATATCCTTCCCAAATCAAGACATTTCTTTACAAATGAGCTCCAAGACTATAGAAATGACCAAAAAAAATCTCATTCAAATATACAGTATTTGCCATCTTAGGAAAAGTCAGGGTGTACATATTTGACATGGCTGAACAGTAGGACGCAGGAGCCAGGGGAGAAGACACACGGATGTTGGGAACATCTCCACAGTCCTACAAAGCAGAAGCTAACCCAGAGGTTTGCAGCCTGCTCAGGAATACTCCCCTCCAGAAGTAGGGGGTGATGGGCCTGAACTTGGGATGTCCAAGCCACAGGAAGAGGGATTCTAGGTTGCAGCACTTAGTATGCTTTGGAATAAATATATTATTTTTCAATTTAAATAGACGCCAATGCCCTGAACCCTGGACCCCAGTGCCTTCCCAGTGACACCTTGGGGACCCCAAAGACTGTTGGCTGGAAGCAACAGGGGCCTGTCTTGGGGGGAGGGGGCATTGACACCAAGTAGCAGGCAAGCTAGCCAGCACAAATAGGTAGTATGGGGCTAATAGGTAGTACTGGAAGAATTGTGTTCCTGTGGGATGGGGTGTGGTGCTGGGTGTCTGCCAGTGTTGGGACACTAGGAGGCTTCCTGGAAGTGGAGGCCCATTGCAGCTGGGCCCATAGGTAGTTTGGGGATGCCTCTCAAGGAGGCCTGTGCTAGGTAGTATATTGGCCATGCCAATGCAGAGCGCTGGCCGGGGCTAGGGATATCTATTGGAATTTTCAGAGGGAAAGGGGATCCCAAGGTGACCTAGTCTTCATAGCCTCTCAGTTCAGAAATTTGGGAGCTACATCGGGTGATGGGGTGGGTGCTGTTGGGAGCTGGGGTCTTTTTCTTTTTAAGTTTTCTTTTATTTCCCCCCATTTTTGTAAATAAAACCAGTGAGTCTCTTAAAGATGCTTTTCCGACTGTCCGATGCAGCCAGGGCCCTGGCTTGGCCCCTCATTCCTCCTCTTCCTCCTCCTCCTCCTCCTCCTCTTCCTCCTCTTCCTCATCCACCTTGGCAGAAGCGGGAGCAGCAGCAGAGGGCACCGCGCCTTCCGGGGCTGCAGCAGGGGTGGAACCCTCTTCCTTATGCTCTTTCTTCCACTTCATGCGGCGGTTCTGGAACCAGATCTTGATCTGGCGCTCGGTGAGGCAAAGCGCGTGGGCGATCTCGATGCGGCGCCGCCGAGTCAGGTAGCGGTTGAAGTGGAACTCCTTCTCCAGCTCCAGGGTCTGGTAGCGCGTGTAGGTCTGGCGGCCTCGCTTCCTGTCTGGTCCTGAGAATAGAAATGTGGACACATGGACACACGGATAAATAAGCAGGCAGGGACACGGCAAGAACAGTGAATTAGCCAGGCTGCTGTCCAGAGGGTGCACTTTCTTCCCTGTCCACAACTAAGCCAATGGCTCCCCTCTGCCCCAAAATGCAGAGCAGAGCTGGAGGTAGAGGGGGGCAGTGTTAGACGAAGACCCAAGCCTGGAGCCAGACGGGCAGGCAGCTCTGCAAGAAGGGAAGAAGCAGAATTCCAACTTTACAACCAGCCGACCTTTCCAGCCGGCTAGGCTTCCACAATGTCCTGCTTCCCCCCTGACAAAGGGAAATTGTAAATATAGAGTGTGGGCGAGTGGGAGACGCTGCACTTTTGCATTCAAAGGCGAGCCCGCCGGTCCCCAGCCTTCCCAGACGAGTGGGCGACCCTCCCCACCAGCTCTCCACCCATCCTCGGGACCTTCCTTGGGCACATCGACCCTTCCGTCCCTTTCCCTCCCGTCTTCAAATGGCCCCTGGCAAAGGGATGGGTGAGGGGCCCCAGAGGGTTTGGCTCTCTCTGCTTTTGAGAAAGAAAATCAAGGCTGAAAGGAAAAAGAGGGAGGGAGGGAGAAGAAAGGGAGGTAAGGATAGAGAGAGAGAAAGAGGAAGAGAGAGGAGAGAGAACAGGGAACAAACTTAATGCTAAAATTCCAAGGCAAGTGGAGTTAAATAAATTTACGAGGATTGAAACCATTAATTGGGCCATAAAAAGTTTTATGAGCCTCATTTACATACAATGCTACGGGCTCTCCACGCAATGGCGCCTCAGCTCTAATTAAAACCAGAAAGGCAGCGCCGCCAGGAGTCAGGGGGCCGCCGCTCGCTGGCTCGCAGCCGCCCGCCAGCTCGCCCGGGCCCTGCGCCCTGCGCCCCTGAGCCCGGCGCCCTGCGCCCTGCGCCCTGCGCGGCGCTCGGGCTCCCGCTCGCCCGCCCGCCGGACCCGCCCGGCCGCCTGGCGGCTGCGCCTACCTGAAGACCGCATCCAGGGGTAGATGCGGAAAGTGGCCTCGGCCGGGCCGTGCAGCGCGCCCTCGTCCGCCTTGTCGCAGGCGCCTTTGGCGAGGTCACTGCAGAGCCCGGGGATGTTTTGGTCGTAGGAGGCGCAGGGCAGGTTGCCGTAGGCGTCGGCGCCCAGGCCGTAGCCCGCCGCGAAGGGGCTCTGATAGAGGGGGCTGTTGACATTGTACAAGCCCGGCACGGTGGAGGCGAAGGCGCCGGCGCCCGCCCCGTAGCCGCTTCTCTGCGAGTTGGGCGCAAAGGAGCAAGAAGTCGGCTCGGCATTTTGGAACAGAGGAGCCCCCGCCGTATATTTGCTAAAAAGCGCGTTCACATAATACGAAGAACTCATAATTTTGACCTGTGATTTGTTGTCCGGCAGCTTTCAGTGTCGGTTTTACGAGGTAGCGTGATATATGATAACATTACACCCCCAGATTTACACCAAACCCCATTTTCTTTTGGACGGAGCTCGCCGCGGCACGTGACCGCCCACATGACAGCCTCCGCCAATCTCGGGCGCCCTCACAGGTGGTCTCGCCCGGCGGGGCCGCGGCCGCCTAGAATGGAAGCTGGGAGGCTGCAAGGCGCGGCCCGGCCGGGCTCCGCGGGCTCCGCCGCAGCAGGCGCGCTCAGCCGGCCCGCGCCCCGCGGGAGCCGCCGCGGCCACCAGGTGCGGCCCGAGCGCCCCCCCCCCCCGCTGATGAGTGAGCCCCGCCGAGGCGTGCGGATCCCCGTCCGCGTCCTGCCTGCTGACGCAGCCCCGCGGGGCTTTGCACCCCGCACTGCCGCCCTCCCTCTGGCCTTGTTGGCAGGTCTGGCCTTGGGCAGAGCTACTCTTTGCCCGCCTCTCTGTTGGGTGCAGTGGACCAAGGGCCGGACTTCGACTCCGAGCCAGACCGGGCAGGCGCAGCGTCGCTTTCAGCAGCCAGAAAGCCACGGCAAAACTGGAACCATGTGGGTGGAATAAAGTCAGTGTCTCACAGCTTCCTTTTCGTAATCTGCAGCGCACTGTTTATCCGCCCTAAAGGAAACAGTGAAATATTTATCTATTAATGAGTCTCATTTGCCAACAGATTTATTAACATGAGATTCCTTGTGCCTCCTACGGGACACAGCAGCCCTGGAGGCTCAGTGCATCCGCTTCTGGGCACCTGGTTGGCCTCTGGCAGCCCAATAAATGGCTTTGTCCTCCCCACGTCCTTTGGTTCCCCTTGGTTCCCAGAGCATCTCGGTCCCTCACACCCTCAACGAGGAAGAATCTGAGGCTCTGCACCTTTCCATCGGCTCCCAGCACCGCACCGGTGAGATTTCTAGCAGCTTTCACCCCAGTCATCCCCGGACTTCCACCTTGTGAGTGCCAGTGTCTGGGAGCAATTGAAGCTTCAGAGCTGAATTGGAGTGGAAAGAGGCGATCTAGGTACCTGGTGACTGCACCCCCTTGCAGATCTGATTTTTTTTGGAGCCGCCAAAAACAAGGGAGCCCTCTACGAAGGCCAGGCAGCTCTGGCAGCTGCATCTTTACAAGCAGCAGCACAAAGCTGAGTGTACAGTACTCTCCTTCCCTTCTACCCAGACACCCCAGTATACAGCGCCTACCTTCCCAGGCCTCTGACCCCTGCTGCAGCATTCGACCAACTGAACCCCTGCCACCACTGTTCTGTGGAGATGATAGGGCGAACCCTAAACGCCTCATAAACTCCCGGGCTGCACTGGAAGCCTGGCCACCTTTTACTGCCCAGCTCGATTGCACACCATAAACCCACCCTCACAATGGAATTGCCCCGGAAATTCTCCTCTAAATTATAGACTTTGGTTCCTTGTATACAAAGCACTCCTCTTCACTTTCAGAGGGTCCTGGCTACCCTGGTTCACCATACTTTCTCGGGGGTCTTGGGAGCACAAAGAGAAAGGATGGTTCCAATCGATTACCCAGGAGTCCCAGCTTGTACCTATAAAGGAGTCAGTCTTTGGTTGCAAAATGGGGGCAGGTGGGCACTGGGCTGTGTACCTCAGGAGTCAGGGATCTGGTGGGGCGGGGGAAGTGCAGTATCCGGAATGTCCTTTATAATGGATCAGGATGATACCAAATCCCAGACCAGGAACGGAGTGGGTAAACCTAGAGGAAAAAAATCAAAATAACATTGCCTTCTAGCAGGGAAATAAAAAACCTAAGAAAGTTAAAGAAGATGCAAGGAAGCAAAAAAGAAGGCTAGATCAAAGAGGTGGAATTAGGTGGGTTTAGACCAATAAATTTTTCCTCTGGTGACACAGAGCAAAATGCAGAGAAAGACCCAGCCACGCCGCCACATTCTGTCTAGACTCAGGCGGCTGCAGTGGCTCACAGCGATGGCTGCTAAAGTAGACCCTGTCCCAAGCAAGGTGAACAGACAGCCTGAGTGGGCAGCGACTGCAGGGGTTGCAGGCAGGTACGCACTTCACTGCCAAGGGAACGCTGGGCAGCAGCAAGATCGTCTCTTCCCTGGATTTGGTGCGGCAGGCGTCCAGGAGGTCTTGCCAGGGTGCTCTGCCCCATACTCCAGCCAAGGAGGATCCAGACACTGCCCGCCAGACCTAGGCTCTTCTGGGCTGAAGTCAGCCAACTGGGCCAAGTCCCATGGGCACCAAAACCTCTCTTTCGTTTCTGAGATTCTCTCTCCCTTTCTGCCTCCTGTGGTTGGATTTCAAAATAAAAAGGCTCAACGAATACCAGGCTTTCAATGAAGTCTATTTAATCATGTGTTCCTTAGCTATTGGCTCCTTACTTATTTGACTGAAAAGAGGAAAAGGTACTAGCTTATGTATGATATTATTCAAAGAATATTCGTTGATGAGTGACCTGGAGCAGGGATAGGTAGGCCAGCTTCTAACCAGCCTACCTATCCTCAGACGTTTCCCACTGCTCTCCTGGAGCTAGCCTCTCACCGCTAGAGTGTTTCCTCTGATTATTACCAAATAGTTTGTAATATTTTAATCCAGTTAAGATTATAAACTCAGCTCTCTGGCAGCCTGTGATTTGCTTCTCCAAATGTTTCCACCCACCCTTCACTCCCGGACTGAGATCTGTTCCCCACCAAGTGAGCAAGGGGTGGGTTGGCATGGACCAAACCTTCCCGATGGGTGAAAATGAGCTCGGCCGGCCCAGGGTCGGCCTGGACAGAGGCGGCCGCTGCCGCTGCGGGAAGCGGCGCCCTGGCAAAGGGGAGGGAGGTAGCTTCCCAGCCGCCAGCCGGCCAAGGGCAAGGGAGGCCCTGTCTGCCAGGCAGTCCACGAGGGCTGAGGCTCCGGGTGAACTGTACCTACCTGCGGCTTCTGTGATCGGTGGAGAGAACTGGTTAGCACCAATCTATGACTTTATTTGTAATTACAGAAATCGAGCTTTATATCTGCGCCTACTGAATGATCTCTTTTTATTTGTTACTACATAAACAGTCTTCTGACTTTGGATACAAAGCCATGTTGACTCTCAGGAAAGCAATAAAACCCTTTTTACAATTAGATGCTGTGAAATAGTGTGCATTATACATGCAAATATAATGAAGATGTGTGTATAACGCCAACGTGTGTATAGAGAGGAGAGAGAGAGAGAGAGAGAGAGAGAGAGAGAGAGAGAGAGAGAGACCCAGGAGAGATGGCAGCCAAAATCCAGTCCCCAGTTTTTCAGAGGTTCAGCACGGAGACGCAGGTCATAAACATTTTGCGGGCTTGGCAGAGACTATTACAACCCAAATAAATGCACCGTGTGGCGCGTGCAAGGGGGCTCCGAGGTGCTTGGCAAGGTTCTGTGTTGTTTTTGTGTTTCTCTTCGAAGCTATTCTCCATTCTACACCCGTGGTGGCTCCCCCCACCAGCCACCTTTGCGGAGGCTCCGGAGCACGGTCCCCACTTAGGGTCGGGCAGAGGCGGAGCAGCGTGCACCCGGTCCGGTCCCTTCTCTCCCGTTTCCTCGGAAGGGAGACGCCTGAGCAGTCTTGGCACCTCTAAACCAGAGAAATGCAGCGGCCAGAGAAACTATGGGCTCTATGACGGGAGCGCCAATTCTGGAGTCAGGACGATGCCATGATTGTTAGTTTAAACATCACATTGATTTTAGAATAACCAAACATTTCCTGGTCTGTCCAGAGATTCCCCATGCCAGCCACCTCCCTGGAGACGACCTGTATTAGACAAGGTGGCTTTATGCCCAGTTTTCACCCGTCTAATTTTGTGGTCACATATTCAACCTGGCTCTCTCTCCGGTGCCGCTTCGCCGGGTCTTGTCCCAGGCCTGACCGAGGTGCAAGTTTCGGGGACCTCCAGGGCCGCCGCAGAACCTGTGACCCCCGCGTGAGCCCTCACAGGGTCATCAGGCCGGGTCTGTGGGCTCCGGCCGCACGTCCTCGTCGCCCGAGGCCTGTGCAGGGCTGAGGTGACCGGATCCGTCCCGCACCGGGAGCCACCGGCCCCGGGCGCTGCCTGCCGCGCGGGCGGCTGCAGCCGCAGCTCTGCGCTCTCGCGACGAGGCCCGGAAGGCGCGAGCGGAGGGAGTCGCCGGCCAGACCCCGCCGCGTGCTCGTGTCCCAGGGAGGCTTCTAGTCTGGCACGCACAGCCCGGAAAATATACGACTGCCGTTCCCTGGAACGCGGGCTCCCATTCCAGAAAGGCTCGCGTCAAGTCGACATTTTAGGAGCTTCCCGGGTCGCGGCGGCCGGAGATGGCGGCGCGGCCGGCTCTTCGGTGGAGCCACAGTGCCATCTGCTGGCTGCGCGCGCGCACTGCAGCCCCGGCCGCCCGGGACGCTGAACTTCGGCGGCCGCCGCGCAGCGGAGCGCGGGGTCGGGTCCCGAAGGCGGGGTGCGGGCGCCCTCCGCGGGGCCGGCGGGGGCCCGGAATCTGCGCTGCGGAGGGGACGGTGCCCATAAAAGAGAGCTGTTTCCGCAGCCGCTTTATCGGCAGCAGACAGAGCAAACAAATGAAAGGGCTTTGGTGGAATATCCTAATTGGGGCTGGACAGTTGTAAACTCATTAAGGGCCGAATTCCAGACAGTTCGCAGACCCGGCCTTAATGGCGCACCCTTACGACCCATTCTTTGAAGTCCCCTCTGTCTGCGGCAACAGAGGACGTCCCAACCTGGCGGCGCGGTGGGGGTGGAGGAGAGGAGACGCCCCATCCACCCGCGCCCTGATTCCTCTTTCACGCGTTTGAACAGTCAACTTTGGAGTCCCAGGGTGGGGTGGGGTGGGGTGGGGAGGGACAAGAAAGGTGGGGAGCGAGGCGGAATTCCCCGGCCACATCTGGAAGGCGCTCTGGCCTCCGAAGTTGTGGCGGTTCCCTCGTAGCCCTTTACACCCCATAAACAGTAACAGCCCTCATTTTCTTTTATGGCGCATGGGGGCTCCTCGGTTGCCTCAGCCTGGCCTCTGCCAGGACTTGTGTTCGGGAGGGGTTTGTGGTGCTGGATGCAGGATTCAGATTCACCCTAGCCAGGCTGGCAAGAGGCTGGGGTGCGGG